ACTTCCCCAGGACAGCCATCATGGTACCCATTTTAGGCTAGGTCGACCATACCATGATAGAAATCCACGCAGCCAGCAGTGGGTTTCGATCGCAGTATGTTGGAATTAAGAGTTGGACTTTACAGCTTTGTTTAGATTGAAATGTACATCTAAGCATTGATAGTCTTGATATATTTCAGAAGCATAGTTTTTTTTTTTTTCTTTCTACATTTAACATTAATTTTTATCCTTAGATTTCCATTGATTTTTATCTACATTTTACAATAATTTTCATCCTCAGATTTCCATTGATTTTTATCTACATTTTACAATTATTTTCATCCTCAGATTTCCATTGATTTTTATCTACATTTTACAATAATTTTCATCCTCAGATTTCCATTGATTTTTATCTACTTTCAAAATGGATTTTGATTCATCATCCAAGTTCATCGCATCTCTAGCCAAATTTTTACAGTCATTATGCAATGGATACGTTGATTTTGATAAAGGTGTTGAGGTCATAGGACACATTTACATTAATGTCGACAGTGATACAGGGAAGAAAGTTGATTATGTTTTAAATGAAAAAGTGTGCAAAAATGATAACTCAATAACTTTCATTAGCAACAGCTTTCATGCTCAACCAGCAGAAAAGCCAAAACCCCCACCTAAAAAGACAGAAGAGCCTGACAGACAAAACAATGAGACATTTATTATGGAAGACTCAGGCCAGCCAGTGCCAAATAGCACTAATGTTGGTACTCTAGGCTCCTACATAAGTCCATCTGCAAGAACAGGTCAACAAGACTCTTATCCTGTTGGCTCTAAACGTCCACGAAGCCCCCCTCTGCAGCGAAGCATGATGGGTAAAAGTGGCAGTCCCGCAGTATCTAAACTGAGCATGCCTCCATCACCACGTTACCACGACTCAGGCGGTCCCGGAGCAAAAATGGGACGCAGCGACATACTTCCAAGTCCGTTGAACAGTGGTTCTTTAGGTGGCAGCGGGGATGATTATGAAGGTGCAAATGTCTTTCAAGGTGGTGATGAAGATGACAATTTTTCCACAAGTTTTCTTGACAATCAAAATTCATCGGAAGTTGACCAGAAACCAGTCATTGATCCTGATATAAGCATTGTTAAGGAGGAATATATGTCTAATCAAAGTAGTTGTTCTTACTCAGGAATTAATCAGACATCAGGTGGGTGCATGTTTGTTTTCATATTTGTAGCTAGGTTAACTTCTCACATTAGAAACACAATTAATGGGTAAAGGCAAGGAGTTAATTGTTTGAGATAGCTCCAATACATGGGATGACATCTGTTGTAAATGTTACAATTTCTGCTGTCTCAGTTGTCTGCGTTAAACATTTCTATATTATTTAGTTGATTATATAGGAATATGTTGTATTTAATTCAAAAATGTTATTACAAACTTAAGATTAATGTGACCTAATCCGCATTTGGTGTCTGTTTTCAAATGTTTTTAATTTTTATGCTGCACATTGATTTTCTTGTGAGATTATGTCTAAAAAAAAATTTCAGTAAAGTTGTCTTCACACACTAACAACTGAAACGGCTCTCCGAACAGCGTCATAATATTATGGGGGCCATAAAATATCCGTATGGGGCTCAGTTCTATTAAAAATATGCCGGCTCCATATAGCGAAACAAATGCTCTAACAGGGTCTCAGCGATGTGTTACTTGCGGACCTGTTTCTGTGCCTAACCGCCGACCATATCCCTGGCGGCGCGAATGGGGTATAAACTAGATGGCTGGGACTCATGAGTAGCAGCTACTGCATCTCCTGCAACTTCCTCCAACTAATTTGCTTGTGAGTCCCAGGCACCTAGTTTAGCTCCCCCATCCGCGTCGCGCGGAGCGGAGGGGGGATACGCTCGGCGGTAAGGTTGGCAGGTCTGACATCTACCGCTGCTACATCCTCAATCGGACGAACAGTATTGCTAATCTGCGTAGGAGCAAGTGGTCTACCCGCCATATCGCTTTCATCGTCTGTAATGTCTCGAAATTGTCAACGGTCGCTGTTATTGTCTACTAGTATCGACTGCAGAAACGCTCAAAATTGTCAACGGTTGCTATTATTGTCTGCTACTACTGTGTGCACTGTTGTGTCTGTTTATATTGTCAAGTAATCCTAGTTTTGCCGCGATTTGTTCCCTGGCAGAAAGTCCACATTATAGATATGCCTGAGCCCCGTACGGATATTTTTGGATATTTTATGGCCGCCATAATATTATGACGCCGGTCGGAGGAGAGCCACTGAAACAAACTTTGGCAGGGTGGTGGCATTGTAACATGGATTGTGCCTCATTGTTTACTATTGAGTACTCTCTCAGGAAATGCTTACTGATCTATCTTTCATGTTTTATCCACCAGATTTTTTTCAAACCTATGTGTGTGGTAAAAATGTGTTTTGTAGAAGAGTGGGCTATCCTCCGAATAACAGTCCCAAATTATCAAGGTTATAAAAATACCCTAACATGGCCTCAATGTTTGTGACGGTGCCGGCAGGAAGCCGCTAAATATTCAGTAAACAAGCGACTAGTGCTGCTGTGGTAACGTCCTGTCCACGTAAGTTCCATCCATAAACCTTCAATCAATAGTGTCGTGGTTCCACGGTTGTGACAGATTCTAGTAGTGGTGTTGTAATTGCAATACTCTTTGCTCTAAGCCTAAACCTAGGACCGAGGGGAGAAGTTAAACCTAGCACTCAGTGTCGTAGCTGTTGACACCCTCGCAGATTTGGAACTGTTTTTAGGAGTGTTTCCTGTGGTATGCGGTATATTCGCCGGAAAGAGGTCTGCAATTTACATATGATATATTAGTGTATTTTCTTAGCCTCTATAATTTGGGACTGTTTTTCGGAGGATAGCAAAAGAGTGGGATCTATTTGTTTATTCTCATTCTTTAAAAAAAATCCTAATCCTTTGTTTGTGGCAACTTCACCTCACTCACAAGACTGCTTGTTCTGAGCTGACCTTTAAAAAAAGAGCTCATAAGCTGTAAGCTGACAGAAAGTCCTGGTTGTTTGCCCATTTGGAATTTTTATTTGTGCCAAAGCCTGAGTTTTGCGTGTACATCCGTTTTACTGGTTTAATTGTGTACAGTTAATTGTTCCTTGCCGTTTGGGCAGATGCACTCCAACTTCGAAGGAAGTACCCAATTAATAGACTTCCTACTACGACATGCTTGTTGAGGAGGCAGTGGGTCTATTTTTGTTTTCCCCACAATGTGGCCCTGGAACCCACATGGGGGAGGGCTGATAGCAACAGGATGGATAGTTCTTTGTTATTGAACATTTTATTACTTTGTCCGAAAGTATTCTGTTGTTTTAGTTGTTTACACTGCCTTTATTTAAACATTTTATTATAGGGCTCTGACATTTTTCTTTTGTGGTAGACATTCCATATTTATAGTTCAAAGTAAAGCTATTCTAAAAAAAAAATTATTTCTCAATTCACACTGCTGTGAAAGTTGTGTTAATTATTAAGTCTATTCAGTGATGCCTGTACTAACTTTGGGCTCACCATCAACAGAGATAAAACTAGCCATGCACAAGTCAGCCACAGGGCAAAGATACAACAAGCCCAATATGACAGTGAATGGCCACAGATTAAATGTTGTCATGAAATTTAGTTCTCTAGGGTTTTCTTTGCATTTGGCAGACTACAGAAATGTTTGGAACAGAAGTGGCATAACCCTGCAGACAAAGCTTAAAGTATACAAAGCAGTTTATTAACTACACTGCTGTATGCATGTGAAACATGGACTGTATACCAGCGCTAGGCCAGAAAGTTAAACCACTTTCACACAGTCTGCCTTAGAAAATGAATGCAGATCAGATGGCAAGACAAAGTACCTGATACCGTAGTCCTTGAGAAAGCAGCCATGCCCAGCATTCACACTCTACTGATGCAGTACCAAATTCGTTAGGTTGGTCATGTGGCACGCATGCCAGATTGCAGGCTCCCAAAAAAACCTTCTATTCTGAAAAACGTTTCCAAGTCAGGCAAAAGAAACACTTTAAGGACACCTTGATTGAAGTCTTCACTCAGAGCATTTAGGATGAATGACACCAATTGGGAGGCTGCCTCTCAAGACCGAAATGCATGGCTTGCGACTTTTCACAAGGGCATGGCTACATGTGAAGCAAACAGAACAGCAAGACTGATTTAGAAAAGAATGGACAGAAAGGTGACTGCACAACACTCATTCCCTGTCCTCACTGTCCAAAAACTTTTCCGGCCCGCATCAACCTCATCAGTCATCTTCATACTCATACTTGATGAAGAAGAGTGGTCATCGTCATCATGATAGACAACACACACAATTATTTTAGGGCTCTTTTTTAAAATATTTCAATTTTTTCAGAAAGGTGGCTAGATACAAATGCCAAATGTTCTCTTCAAGACTCGCTTCATCGTCTCTCTAGAGGCAGTCAATGTCTAATATTCAAAGTAAGAGCAGAGCACAGCAAACTTTGTCAACCTATCTTTAAACTTTTCAGTGTAGGAAACATGGTGTGTCCTTGCAGCATGGCACCAGAAGATGTTGAGCATGTGTTCCAGCACTGTCGCCTGTATGCTGTTCTAACCACGATGAAGAAAAAGCTGTATGTTTGGTACATAGGGATATATGGACGGCATGATATTTTTCATAAGGCTACTGGCCTCTGGGTATGTTTTCTGACAATAGGATCGAAGAAGAAGATCGTCTCTCTCACGGACACAAATATACAGTATTAACAGACTGTGTTCACATTACGCATGATATATCATGCAGTGTTAAATGCTTCCACATATTAGAGAGAATTCGCCTTTCTTCTCATGTGATGGTTATTATTGTTTGTTATCATTACCGTGTAAAACATCAATAACATTCCAGTTTTGAGACTATAGGTTTTATTTGTTTGTGTAAAAGGTTAATGATTTGAGTACGTGATTTGCAATTTAAAAAAAAAAAATAAATATATATATATGTTAACTTTGAAAAACAGGTCCTGGCAGAGGGAAAGGTCCGCCTGCCTCTGCTTACCCTGTGATGCTCCATCAGAGTCCTTCCAACTATGCTGCGGCTGCTGGTAGCACAGCACCACCGCCAGATCTGTATGCAGGCAATTTAGATGGAGTGGGTGATCCATCAAGTGAGTTTTTTCTCATTTAGAACCATTATATTACAACCTGAAGGGTAATAAAGATAGGAAAATATATTTTATCTTTAGCATGCCTGAGATCTTTTTTTAATCCCCAGATATCTTATTCCATTAAGTTATTAGCTCATGTGTCTGTTGAGCGTTATTCAAGAAGTCTATTGGCAGTGCGGTTCCCCATGAATTTGATCGATGCAGGGAACAAAATGGTGTTTTTCCAGGCTGGGTGTTATGACTTAAACTCACTGCTCTCTATGTATGCCGAACAATACCGTGGTCTATAACTGAGATCATGAGCCTGGAAATCTAACACATTTTGATTTTTAAGTTGCTGATACCATTCCAAGAGTACTAGCAAATCTGCATTGGCCTGTTTCTTTGGGTGCTGGTAAATGTGTTGCACATACCATGAATTGAGGGTTGAACACAAAAGCACACTGAGACAAATATTTTATATAAGAAACAACCCAATAAGATTACTTTGTCATCAGAAGCTAGTTTACAGACCAATGAATCATTCAGAAGGAACAGACTCACAGCTCTTCTGTGAACAGGCATCAGTGGACCACCAATCTTAATTTGAAAATTAAAATCAAAAGCCTGATGGGCAAAGAGATCATGGATATTTCTATGATATATGCAATACATTTTAGCAGATTTAATCTTATTTTGTTTCATTAAATTACAAATTAAAATTGCTAAATAGGTTTTTAAAAAAAAAGATACTTATAGTTTGCACAGAGTAGCTGAAATCTGAGAAGCAAAATACACTTGTGAAGTTTTCAGCTGTATATTTATTGCTACGTTTATATTTACATGTTCAGTTGTCTTTGGGCAAGTGAACATAATTAAAAGATTGTAATTATAAAGACTAAGGCTATTTCTGGTTGCTGATTACAGCTGCACTGCCACAGTGTCAAAATATCAACATTGACTATCACACTACACAGTGAAATTGATGCCATTAGCAGCTGTACTTGTTTCCTGTCACAGGAGAACATTCTTCTACCAGTACACTATTTTCTTCAGCATTCATTAACATAATTTATTTTACCTGTTGTCTGTTTGCAGTCTTGATGGGGTTCTTGATTTATTTCAGTATTGATCAGAGTTTTAGTTTATATTTCAGCAGTTTTTTTTTTCAAGTATCAGAATCATTTGGTTGCCGTTCATTAAAGTAAAAAAAAAAATTTTTTTTTTTTTTTTTTAAATGAGACATTTAATAGTTAAATGTAATTCATCTTTCCATTGAAGAACAAAGCATTATAGTGAGCATGTTAAATAGAGTGGGTCATAATTGATGTTCCTAATGTCTCATAAATTGTGTTTTTTAATTTCTTCAGAAGGCTCACAGCAAGTTTTCATTTGTTTTACAGCTCTCACTCGTGCCCAACAAGAAGAACTAGAAATGTATTATAGAAAAGGAACAGATCAGCATTTAACATTTTTGGTAAGTAGCAGTAATTTGTGTGTGTTACCTGGGTCCATTTAGGGAGACAGAATAATAGCACTGTAATCTACCAGAAGTTTAAAAAAAATGTTAGCAGCAATAATGTAACAGAAAAATCTGATTTAAGGTATTTGTTTTGAATAGTGGAAACCAACAGTAATGGTAATTCTATAGAAAATGTCTACCATAAGGTTAAAAAAATTTTTTTAGCAATAAGGCTACAGAAATATCTGATCTACAGTATTTGTTTTGAATAGTGGAAACCAACAGTAAAGGTAATTGCACAAAAAGTGTCTACCATAAGGTTGAAAAAAGGTTAAGCAATAATGTAACAGAAAAATCTGATAAAAGTTTTTCATTTTAAAAAGTGGGAAAAACAACAGTAATGGTTGTTGCAAAGAAAATGTCTTCCTGAATGTGTTCAAGTATTTGATTATCTTGATAACATTAAAGTAAAAATTCATTAAATCTTACATTAGAAGATGTCAAATCAATGGGTGTAGACCACTGCACAAAGGACACCAGTTTCAGTTTGCCAAACAAAGCTCTGAGCCAGTTACGATTACATGTTAGGCTTTGCTGCTATCAAGCTATCAGAAAGCGACTGTTACTGCCGTCACTTCCATTGTCATACTGAATGTTGTGATGTTAAATATGTGAGGCTCTGTTTTCAGTGTCTATCAACATTTGCAATGAAACCTCAGCCACTCTCTTTAACTATCACTACAGAACCTTCTGTGTATGTAATGTCTCCTGTGTGTAAATTTTCATTGGTCAGCTATTGCACTAATGTGGTCAGCTCTTGCACTGATGCCTCTGTTTCATCGGCTTTCCATTCCCGACACCTTAGGCACAAGGTATTATCACTTTGTTGAAGCCAGTTTGCTGGGCTGTACTGTCACCCATTCCTTACCATTTGCTATCTTGTCAGTAGTGCAAATAGCTCTGAGTGTGACTTCTGATTTTTGGTTTGGTTTGATTTATACAATGGATCAACATTATGCCACAAGGTTGTCATTGCAGTACACAAACTCCGTAGCATCAGCGAGGATAATGAAATACTTTGGGTAGATTTTAAACTCCAAATGTTGCCTGGGCAGCGCCCTTAGGCTACTCTTTTCGATTTCAAACTGCCCAGGGATTTTTTACATGCGCAACTGTACACACAGACATCTGATCTTATTACCAAGAGACCAGGGGAAATTATTAGAAGTCCACGTGAAAAAATCCCACCCTTTACCGGTGCTTGAACTCTAGACCTCCAGCACTCGAGGCGGACGCCTGATTGTGCCATCCAGGAACTAACTCTTCAGCCGATGTCCCTTACTCCCTAAGGCCTCATGTTGAAGTTATTCCTGCCTGTTACGAATGTAGTATACATTTTCGCCTGTAACACCTTGTATTTTTCATATACGGACAACAATACAAGTATGTGCCGCGAACATATGATTGGCATGTTCGTGTACATCCCGGAATGACTCGCCTGGCTTCATGTTGCATGTGTCCCACCTACTCTGTTTGGCTGTTAAATAATGTGAGCTGGCCCAAACCATAATCAATCACTGAAATCATAAGTACAGAGGGAATCCTGATAATAAAAGTGAATCATTAGCAGTCAGCACTTTGCATACAAATCAGTTGTTTCTGTAAAATGGAGGTGTGCGTAAAACTCAAGTTGTTGATCAAGACCAGAAGAGAATGATGATGCAGCTGTCTGATGGTGTCAGGAAGAAATTAACTCACAAAAAGATTGACTGTCAGGTCAAAACCAGCTTTTCTAGTTTTGTGTCTGTGTGTGGGAATGATGCTATTTATTATGTTTTTTTAATTTAAAAATTGAATTACACAAGTGGATTATATATTGGAATATTGGCTCAACAGTTATATTAAGATTCATCCTGTGTGGGTTCCATGGCCTCTTTTTGTGTGTGTGTGTGTAAAAAAGGGGGGGGGGGGATAATCTCACTTCTCCCTAACAACTATTTTGTAAAAGTCTACCAATTTGGGTTATTTCAGTCTAAGTCAGAGTATGAGGAGGCAAGTCTAAAAATAGATATGCCAGATTTGTAAAATGGATGTGCATGCAAAACTGGAACAAGACATAAGTCTAGAAGTGGATGAACAACCAGAACCTCCTGCAGGAGTTTACAGACGGTGAATGTGGAGAAGAAGAAAATACCAAGATTCTATTGACTATTGCTACTACAGAAACTCCATAGCTAACAAACGATAAGATACACATTTACAGATGTTACAGCAGTCAGTATGCTTATAAATTAAGCTGTAATTTGTCAGTTTGTCATCACATTTTTGTAATTACAGTAAAACCTTGTTAACATGATCCAAATATTTTTGTCCCATCGTGGATGTATTATTTTTTTTTAAAAAGTTTAATCGGTTAACACAGATTTCTGTTACCATGAGTTATGGCCATTTTTTATTTAGAAAGTTCATTGCATCATCATTGCATATGATTTAACTTGTACTTCTGATGCTTTTCATAATTTATTATCTGTTGTTCCTCTGCTAGGTATGTTAAAAAAAAAATGTTAAAAGTTGCCCATTATCGAATTCACAACTATTTTAGTGCTTGAACAAGGACCTAATATTAACATTTTTAGTGTAATCCCGATCTTCATGTCAACAACCAGCTTATACTTTAACCAACAGATTCAGTTCAGTCATGTGTTCAAATTACAGTACTGTAATTTAATATCAATTGTTTTTCTATTCTTTAAAACGTAGCCAGTACGAGTAACATCAAAATTAAAACTTGCAAGCAGTAAAACGGGAGTCGTGGCCAAGAGGAAACAGACGGGCATAGATTTGCAAACAAAACTAAAAATCATAGAGGAAGTAGACAGTGGTACATTAAAGAAAACAAAAATTGCTGAGCAGTATGGAATTGCCAAGTCTACAATATCTACAATTCTTAAAGGTCGTGAAAAAATTCTTAGTGCTGCTGCCTCGTGTTCCTGGAGCAAATCTAAGCGACTTCGTAGTCCTAAGTACGAAGAAATTGAAATGTTACTTATAGACTGGTTCAACCATATGCGTGCTTCCAATATACCTTTAAGTGGACCTATAATTCAGTCCAAAGCAGATGAGATTGCCAAAAATTTAGGCATTCAAAATTTCAGTTGTTCTTCTGGTTGGCTGTACCGGTTCCAGAAAAGACACTCAATTTCAGCATTAGTGATGTCTGGTGAAGCAACTCAACTTGGTGAAAAAAGAGCAAACCGCTGTTCGTTAAAAGAGGAAGCAGATGCATAGAGCTCAGAAAAATAAAAATCCTAGAAGTAGAAGACTGAACAGTTTAGAATTATCAAGTCTGCCTTATTTATCTACAAAATCCAACACATTTTCTTTAATGCTGCCACCTCCTGTTCATGAACCAAATTCTTAGTTCTGCTGCCTCACAATCCTGGAGCAAGTCTAAGTGATTTCATTTTGCTAAGTACAAAGATATTGAAACGTTACTTCTAGAATGGTTCAACTTAATGCACGCTTTCAGTGTACCTTTAAGTGGAACTACAATTCTGTCAGAAGCAGATGACATTGCAACAAGTTTAGACATTAAAGATTTCACTTGTTCCGTTATTTGGCTGTACTGGATCAGAAAGAGATATCATTAGAAGTTTGTGGTGAAAAATGTAGTTTCCAAAAACGAAGCAAACAACAGACTGCATGAATTTGACCGAGTGAGAGAACAGTATGCCTTGTGTGATGTGTACAGTGTGGACAAAACTGTACTTTTCTCAAGTGCCATCGTGGAGCACGCGGCAAACAATGTCTGACTGTTATCCTTATATTTGATGCAGATGGCAGTGCTAAACACTGCCTTGTCTAGAGACTCCATTTGTAAAGATTATGGATAGTCTGCCTTGAATCTACTCTCACCATAACTGGATCGACACTTTATCATAAGTGACTTCTTTGTTTCCAGTCAAATGGTTGTTCAGACTAGGCATATCTTTCTGACATTGGATAGATGAACGGCCCGAAACATACATGAGATCTGAACTTAACCAATGTAAAGGTTCAAGTTCTTATTCCGCGTGCAACAAGTCTTCAACCTGTGGGCATTATTGCTGTTATGATAAGGGCTGTATCGCAGGCGACTTGGGAGAGCTGCATTTGTCCCTGCTGAAACAACTCTGCAACCCCCAAGTTGGAGTGTGCCTGATGCAGTAAAAATTGTTGCCCTGTCCTGGGAATCTGTGTCGTCACAACACATAAGGAAAACTTGGAGACTTACCAACACTAATTCTGTTGATTTAGATTGTGACATAGATACCACTTCACCTGATGAATGGGATATTCTGCATGACGTTGCAGAAACCAGAGTTAGTTGTGAGGATTTCATTAGTGCAGATAATGATGCTACAGTGGAATCTGATGTACAAACAGTTTGTGAGGTGCGGGAAATGTCATCAGAAGAAAGTTAAGAGGACAGTATTATTCCACCCACCTGTCAGCAAGTGTTAACCCCATTGGACACTTCAGAACATCCTGCTGCAACATCCAAATTGACCACTAGGTTTATGGAAGCTGGCCATGAAGTCATCAGGCACTTTTCCTTCCTGTCTGCAACAGCACAATCAATATACAGGGATTTTTCACCAGAAAATGACCTGTGAGTACTTTTTTAAAAGTCAATTTGTAGTAATGTTTTCTATGGTAACATAATACATGCATTATAAATGCCTAATCTTTATTACATCGCTAAAATGTTAGTCCCCGGTTAGCACACATTTTTTAAACACCAACGCTTGATTTTTCGGTCTTTTTGGAATTTGTGTTAACGAGGTTTTTCTGTATGTGAACAATTGTTAATATCCATGGCTGATTTTTGTAAATATTCTTGTTAATTAACTTAGTAAAAGTTGATGTTGTTAGCGGCTTCTGTTTAGTTAGACAGTTGTTGTAGATTCATACTAATATGACAGGCTCAATACATGTTTGTGTTTCTTTTCTTGCAGCGCAACATGCGTGAAGCTCATGCTATGTACCCTTTTACGGGTAAGCGTGACAAAGAACTTTTCGATAAAGCGTTGGCAGAGGTGAGTACCAGCTACCTATAGTAATTTCTAACACAAAACCTGAAGCCTGTGTTAAGAAATAGTTTTCTGTTTCTTGTGTTCATCTATATAGTTGTGATTTGAGCTGTTGAGTTTTCCATATGGATTATTTTATCTACCTCTGCCGCTCTTGACTAGTATTTCCCTAGATATTATTTCTCCTTTCCGCCTTGTCTGGTAATCTTAGACTCCGCTCTGTATGGTGTTTGGCATGTGTCCACAAACTTGTCTTGTATACTGTCATTCAATTCTGATAAAGATATTCCTCTGTGTGATGCCATATTATCCTATCCAGTATCATCTCTTGTCTTCTTCTGCCTCTCTTCCCCTACAGCTTTCTTGTGTCAAGACATGTCATTTTCCCATTCTCATGATGTGGCCAAAGACTGCTGTGTGTCCCTTCTGATCTGAATAAACAAGATTGCTTTGTGAGTCAATTTCTTTAAAGACATTATTTTATTTGTTTCTAGTGTTTGTTCTTTTGTAAAACCTTGTATCTGCAGCTTTTGCAAATGTTCTTTCTAATCTTACTTCTATACATCATGCTATCCATATACAGCTCATAAGTTCTGCCTTCTATTGACATTGCCTAAACAAGTTTTGCTAGCAGTTATATGAGTGACCATTCAGGCTCCTGTATGTAGCTCCCAATACTTTGTGCTTTGTTTTATTTTCTGTCCACTGCTTTCAGTTTCTTTGCCATTTATTTCACTGATCTTTATTCAACATTCACATTCTTTAACAAGCATAGACCACAAAACTTTTTGTCGTCGTTGTCTTTGTCGTGATACAAGAAAACTGTCGACCCTATAGGTTTACAGTGAATCTTTGAATGGCATATTTTCTTTCCATTAAGTGCTGTACACATTTTTTTATCTTTCAGAAAAATACTACACATTGCTAATTTCATTGTTTGTTAGTCTGGTTGTAGGATCTCCGTTTGTATTTTATTGATACCCTGTCACATCTTTATTAGCTCTGTGGCTATAAATTCCATACAAAATAAGCAGATAGTAGAACATAAGATCTTAATGTGTACACCTTAATGTAGTCACATGTTTAAAATTCAACTTCAAAATGTTTCCTTTTACTAGACATGTTTACTGTACTCTTAGATTGTTTATGTTTTTATTGTCATTAACACAAGCTTCATGGTTTCTTGAAATATTCTTTACCTATGCCCAGTTGTATGCTTCCAGTAAAAACATTGCAGTTTATTATGCAACGTATTTTCTATTGTTAAAAATTTAAAGAAGAAAAGTCAGTTTAGGCAGAGGCATATAATAACTGGGTATTGAAAGAAGTATTACATTTTATATTGATTGTTGTGATTGATTGATTGACATTTATGGTCGTCACATTTCCTTATATTGCAAAATAAAACACTTCTGCGATAACACGTATGCATAAAATAATTTTAATTGGTTTTTAAAACATTTTCGTTTATTAGCCAGTTTACCAGTTGAATTGTTAATGATTATTTTTCTAGTTGAGTGGTTCAGAGTTAGGACATCTATTTTTGCTGATGCTTTGGGTAATGGTAGGTAGCGTATTTGAATTGTGGGAATCATCAAATCACATTTTTTAATTTGCAGTTTGCCAGGAACATTTAACTTTCACTATGCATAAACAAATTATTAAACATATTTTTTTTTACAAGGAAATGTGATGATCATTTTGATTATTATTGTTATATAAGTAATATAATTATGTAACTATAGCATAGTCATATTTTTGGTATAGATGCTCTTGTTTCAGGCATGGACACATTTTAGGATATTCTAGGGCATAATTAGTCTATGCAAAAACAAGGAGCTCCCCTCCCCCCAAAATGTGTGAGTGCTATTTTTGAGCAAACAAAATTTATTTCTGTTAGGCGAAAGAGTTAAGAGAATAAATGTATAGAAAACATGATCAGTAAACTAGTATAATAACCATATTGGAAACAAGTTTAGGGTGTGCAAGAAAACTACTCATATTGAGATGAGTGTACACAGGTCAAAGAAACATGATGTGGCACATGTGTTTTTTGGGACTCCATACTTGTGCAGTGTGCGTTGACAGAATTAGTCCATTGAGATAAAACGCGCATAGAGGTACACCTTGAACATTCTCAGGCACCTGCCAAGACATTTTTTGAAGAGGACAGTGCAAATTACTGATACTTGCATTAAAACGAAGATGAGAAATCAAACTTGGGGGGGTTATAGCCAATTTTAGACATCTTCTGGGGGATAGAATGTACTGGTTTGACAGGATCAGTAAATTTTTGTGGGGGGAAAATGCTCTCTCATAAAGGAATTTTAATATGAAATATAAAAATATATTGCAATTTTTGTTCTTTTTCTAATTATTTTGATTATTTTTAAATTGAGTTTTTTAAAAAACGTTTTAAAACAAAGTTGTCTTTTCTTGTTGTTGCATAGACTAATAATAAACTCTTAAGATGATTGAAGCTAGAGTACCATTATAAAATTTACATAATATTTCATTAGTTTTATCAGGATATGTGCCAGCAAGAAATTGTTAATTATTCAATGTTACACACAATGAGGCTGATACTGACATTGCACAAACCTGATTCTTGTGACTAAAAGAAGTCCTCCTGTCAGACTTTTCTTCTAATGTGCCACTGTGCCTTGATTACAGACGTTTGTTTGATGCACATCAGTGCATCATCAATCAAAACTGTGTTCCTGAGTTAAGTCGAGCTTAATGGTTAAGCAGTCATACCTTACCACACATGACACTCGATAGTTCTGCATCTTGATGAGTTTTTCTGTGGTTTTCTCTGTTCTATCTCTATCTTGCTTTCTTATCCTTAAGTATACAGCTATTAACAATATCTGTAGTGTTTAAGCACTTTAATATTATTTAGTCACAGACTGAGGCTAAGATTGCCGTTTACATTTGATATCTAATGAAATATCAGACTTCTATAGAAAGTAGCCGAGATGTTTGTATGGTTATAATTGGACATGTTTTCTAGCATGAAAATTGAAAATTCTATATAAAATGTAGCACTGAAGTCAAGGAATATTGTAAACAGTGCCAAAAGCTGTGGTATAGTTTTATCAGACGACACGGAGACAGTACTGAACAGTGGATCATACAGAATGTTTTGTAAGGGCTAGCTTGCAGCTGGAAATATTTGATTTTCATGAGATGGATATACTGAAAGGAGCTGACATGGAAAGACACAAATTGTGATGGTCAGTACCCAGTGAACCCGCCAGTGGTCACCTAAATTGAGATAAAGAACCTTATGATTGAAGCATGATTAATTAATTCATGTCAGTCATTCAGTGAAATATAAAGTTATTTTTATATGAAGAATTACATATTTTAAGTTTTAAAATGTTCTTTTGAATTTAATGTTGAATATAAGATGCAGGGCTCATGCACATTAAAAACAAGTTCACACTGCTGAATTCAAGACAGAGCATTTATGTTATTACTGCTGTATGTATGCTACAAATCTTCAAATATTGAACAGTGCTCTTGAACCTTGCATCTTACATTACTTGTTATGATACTACAGATGTATACACTGTATGATAGAAGATAACCATGCATTTAATGAAGCAAGAGCAGCTATATTGTTAAGATAAAGAGCCCTTTTGATTTTGGTGCTGTGGTGAAACAATTTTTTTAAAATTCAAATTGTTAGTGAACACAGAAAGCCAGTATTTTTGGCACCGTTTTTGGCCTTTTCAAGGTTTTGAAGACAGAAATAATGCATTCTTCATGGTTGTAATCCCTTACATCATTAGAGATAAAACTCTGAGCAACTTTAGGTAACGGTGTAGGTCTTTCGTGACTTTGCTGTCTCGACTGTGTCAGGTCTCCAGTATAGTGCAGGTCCTTCCCTTATAAAATTACATGTTTTTAAGAGATATCTGACAGTTTCTTCAACATTCTTGGGTTTTTGGCATGCAAGTCTTCATTGTCAGTTGTTTCTTGACTCTGCATCTCTTGTTTGGAATATTGGCAAGCATTAACCTAAGCTACAGTTGTTGAATTGTTAGGTCAGGTTTGCAGTCTCAGTTGTCCTATTGTCTAGTAGCAGTGTTGTTGTTTAATTAGGGGCGGAGTTTGTGATATGTTAAACACTTCACGGCAGTCCGTTGTAAAATAATTGTTAGAACAGTCAATGCAAAAGGCATCATAAGGTAAGTGCATAATGTTTGTGGTGAGCGTAAAAGATGCCTAGAAATCCACGTTAAACATGAACAGACAGACAATGCCTCGAGTGCCTTTGCTTCAATGTGATACAGCCATGACAGTTTATGCACATAAAGCAAAAATACTGTACAGGTAGGACTTGAGGAGTACTAGCATGTTTGTGCTTTCCTGTGTGTGCAGATTGTATTTGTCGTTATGAAAGTTTGCTTATTATCATTTTTTTTTAAATCTATCAAAATAAAAGTGCACAGTGGTGTTTTAACTCTTGTCGCATTCTACCACACAGAAATATGATGTGTGTAAAGGAAAGGCTTTTTGTTACATATGGTAAAAGGAGTCAAAAGACTACAATATTGACATACTGTGTTCTCGTAGGTTGCTGTAATCTTAGCAAAGTTTTAGTTATGCGTCCGAAGAATTGAAATGGGGTTTAACAAAATGAAACCTCATTACTCACCCCATCATATTCAAGCTTTTTCCTCCGAAGTCGGAGTACATCTGCCGGAGAGGCGGGGAACGAGTACTGCAAACAAATAAGCCAGTAAAACGGATGTACACGCAAAACTCAGGTCAAGGTAAAAGCCAAAAGTCCATTTTGGACGAACAACCGTGACTTACCGCCGGAATTCACAGCCGGTGAACAAGAAGAATATTCAAGCTTTAAAGCAGTTAGTATGGCAGGGTTGAAAACAGGTGCTGCAGTGAAGTGGAATAATAGCTTCTGTAACATAATGGATTGAATGTATTATAAATTAGTGCAACCATTTTATGTCAAATAAGGGGGCGCTGTGGGGTAG